CAAAGTGAAGAACAGTTGAAAAATGTTTTATCCATTGAAGATGAAAAGGAAAGAGAAGAAATCATAAGATCTTACATCTTTAAGAAAGCTCTTCTCAAAAACTTTGCCAAATGGATTGCAACACATCAGATGACAAAGGTTTTTCGTCAGAGAATGAAACCAGTCAGAGATGAATTAGCAAATATAGTGAGAGGAAATTTGGATCAAGAGGAATCGCGAAAGAATATGAAGAAAATAAGTGGTGAGCTGTTTGCTGAAGAAGCAAGGAGGCGTAAAAGAATAAAAGCAATGAAAAGAGATGAACCTCGAGATGAACTTTAGCTCTCAAGAAAAAAAACTAAACATTATAACTAACTTTAGTATTACATAGGATTGTTTTGCTTTTGGTTTTTTGAAATAGGCACATTTAAAATTTGAATTGCTGTACCTAAAATTTGATTTACTGTACTTAAAATTTAATGTGCATAGCTAGCCAATTAGTTTTGGGCGTGGTCCTTTATTGTAATGTACACACCCACGAAAGCATGGCGTACAATGAAGAGAGAGGTAGAGGTGAGTTATTAATATTATTTTTTGTGTAAAATGTAACTGCAAGCACAAATGATTACTTATTTGCTATTAGGAGATGAGGAGGCATTCTTCAGTAAAGATATTCCATCAAAAGGAAGTTTAAAATCAACTGTCAGCCGTTCATACAGATCACGTGATAAAGGTAGCTATGGTGACAGTCACCAAGATGATATTGACACATACAGACGAGAAATGAAGAGACAAGCCCCTCCCACTACAGACGAAGGCAGGCAGACTGAGCGTCGTCACGGTGACCGGAGGAGAGACAACGAAGGTAGACACCACGGTCGATCGGTCGAACACAAATCAAAGAGAAAGAGCCGGAAAGAAACAACCAACCCAAAGAGAGAGAGAAGGACTAGATCCCGGTCACCTATTTACTCGACCCAATCTCGTAGCCACTCGGATAGAAGAGAACCACGCTCACAATACAGCCACTCGGACAGTCAATCAAAGAGCCATTCAGGGGCGTGGTCTAGTTCACACAGACACACCCACTCACACAAAAGCGAGTATGACAGAGGAGAAGGAGGGTCTGGCGGCAGACGTGATGTCTATCGTCTTGTTAGAGACTTAGAGAGTTCCTCTAGTGGTAGCGATTCAGATGAGGGTGTGGTCAGTAAAGAAGCCACTCCTACTCGTTTAAAAGATGGGACGGAGGAATCAAAGAAAGAGTCACCAAAGAAAACATGGAAGGACATAATGTACTCTGATTCTGAAGAGGAGGAGGAGGGGGAGAGTCCTCTACGTAAGAGTGCCTCACCTCGGGAAAGTGACCAATCAGATTCAAGACAAGGTGAAGATGATGTAAAGGATGTTTCGGCTACCCCACCACTTGCTGAGTCGGTGAAAAAAGAGGACGAACCAGCTCAACCCACGGCTGAGTCTGCAGTTGAGATTAAAGTGTCTAGTGCTACCCCACCAGGAGGGCCTGTCTCTCCTTCTCCTCCTCCTTCCCCTCATGAAGAAGTACTGTATCTACCAGCACTGATGGGATGTCGTAGTGTGGAGTGTTATGAATGGTTGAATAGGATTGAGGAGGGGACTTATGGTGTAGTGTTTAGAGCTAGGGACATCAGAACAGGTGAGTGGGAGGGAGATTCTTAGTTAGATAAGATTTTACCTATACTATGTATATACATGTACATACATGTATATTCAAAATTAAAGTTAGAATTGCTGGCCATAAACCTTGTACTAAGCGGAGTGTATTTTGTCAAGAGAGGGTTTTTCAATTTGTATTATTTTGTCTGGTGTTTACTAACTTTAAAAGGTGCTTAAAAATCAGACCAAAGTCCCTGTACTATAGTACAGGGTCGTTGAACAAATTTTACCAAAAATGACTTTGAGAGAATTCTCCATTTTTTATAAAATTTTCTGATGCATCTACATGTTCTTATGTTGTGTAGAAAGTTTCAACTGATTTCAATCATAATTGGATTTTTTAACGAATTTATAATTTTGCTTTAAAAAGTGTCTGTACTATGCAGGGTCGTTGGCCAAATTTCATCAAAGATGGCAAAAAGAGATTTCTCTGTTTTTATTACATTTTTCAATTAATTTTGTTCTGTGAGTGGAGATAAGATACATTATTGCAGTAGCAGGCTAGCAGCAGTACATACATGTACATCATACATACCTGTACATGTACATGTACATGTACATGTTTTATACATACATGTACATGTACATGTTCATTTACTGTGGGATTGATTGCATTATTCCCTCCTCTCTCTTTTTCTCCTCATAAAGATGAGATAGTTGCTCTGAAGAAGTTAAAGATGGAGAAAGAGAGAGAAGGGTTTCCCATTACATCACTAAGAGAGATCAGTACTTTATTAAAAGCTAACCATGAGAACATTGTTAATGTCAGAGTAAGACAGTCCTTCTTTACTGAATCTAAATTTATGTCTTCCTATTCTGTCTCTCTCCATTTCTCTTTCTCTACTCTATCCTTCTCTCACTTTATCATTTAATCGCGTTAATCCTTCTCTCTTGTCCCCCCCTCTTTCTTTTCCCTTTCTCTGTCATATGTTGTTATTTTATCCTCAGGAGATTGTTGTTGGTAGTAATATGGATAAGATATTTATTGTGATGGATTATGTTGAGCATGATCTTAAGTCACTGATGGAGACAATGAAACAACCTTTCCTTGAAGGTAATTAAAAATTATAATTATTTTTTATAAAATTTTTTGAAGGTTTTACCACAAATTTGTTAAAAAATTTTTCACCTGCCACCATGTGCATTAATTTATTTTCATGGACTTTATTTATGTAAACTTAAGTTTACCCACAGACTTAGTCTCCTATTTTATAATTGAAATTTTTTGTTTTTTTTTAAATCTAATTATTAATAGGAGAAGTAAAGACACTGCTGATTCAGTTACTAAAGGCAGTTCATCATCTTCATGATAACTGGATAATACACAGGGACCTTAAGACATCAAACTTACTACTGAGTCATAAAGGAATCCTAAAAGTACATGATTCAATCAGTGGTAGTCTTATCATTGTGTTAGTTTTGCACTTATCTGATTACTCTACGTGTTACATCAATTTAGTGTCATGTGTATCAAAATACAGTAAACCTTTTGATTATGAATGATAGCCTCTTTTGTCCTTTGATCATCTTTTGACTTTTCAAAAGTGATCCCATCACCAATTTAAGTATAAAAGCACTTTTGATACTTGCAGACAATTTCACTTTATTCATTCAATACAAAGCTCCTTGCCTAAAAGGGTCTGGGGTCTATTGTACATTATACATATCCAGTGCTACTACATGTATATCAATGATGGTTGATTGAACATGTTCTGCTTTTATTCTTAATACATTGTAGGTTGCTGATTTTGGTTTGGCTAGGGAGTATGGCTCACCACTAAAGAACTACACACCCATTGTTGTGACACTGTGGTACAGAGCACCCGAGCTGTTACTGGGAGCCAAAGTAAGTGAACCATCTTTGAGAGTGAGTGGATCCTCTTGACTGCTTGAGAGTGAACTAAAGTCAATACACTCTCACCTGAGATATTAGAAAATTAATACAAAAATTAAAGATTGCATACTATTAGAAAAATTAACTTAAACATATTTTGATAACTTACTTATAATTTTATACAACTTATCATATTTGATCTATTTCATGATTTATATACCGTATAGCAGGTTATTTTCGAGGATGAAAAATTTCACGAATTTTTCAAGATTCACGAAATTAAATTCTTTGAAAATTAATTTAATACTGTACAAGATGGCAGAATAGTGCAAATTCGGGAATATTAATTCAGCGAACATCCGGACATACATGTACTGTAGGTCATTTGCAAAATTTATTATCCTCGAAATAAACCTGCTATACAGTACATGTACATGTACATGCACGCCTTAAGTTATTTGATTGAGCCAATGCCAAGGTGAGCAAAACAAACTGTATTAGTTGACTTACATGTACATGTAATTCTGACTGATTTACTTAAATCTTATTACATGTATACATGTACATGTATGTACATATATATGTATTATGTACATGTATGTGTGTTTATTTAGGAATATTCAACTGCTATTGATGTTTGGTCTGTTGGTTGCATATTTGCTGAATTATTGCAGCATAAACCACTCTTTATGGGGAAATCAGAAATTGATGAACTTAATCTTATTTTTAAAGTATAAGCAATTGCATATTATTGTTATTGTTATTATTTTTATTGTTGTTATTATTGTTATTATTATTATTGTTTTTTATAGGAATTAGGTGTACCCAATGAATCAATATGGCCTGGATTTGGTGAACTACCTGTAGCCAAAAAAGTAAGTAAAATAAAAATGAATAAGCTTTTTAGTTTCAAAATTAGTTTAATAAAAATGTAAATAGCTCAGGGCCAGCATATTAGCTATGGCTTATTTAACAACTTTAAAAATTCATAAAAAATCCAAATTTTGATTGGAATCAGTTCAAACTTTCTACGCAACATGTATATGCATCAGATAAAAATATAAAAATGGAAAATTCTCTCCTTGTCAATTTTTATGAAGTTTGCCAATGACCCTGTACTATAGTACAGGGACTTTGGCCCGATTTTGGAGTAATTTCAAAAATTCGCAAAACATCCAATTTTGATTGGAATCAATTACTTTCTACGCAACATAAGAACATGTATATGCATTAGATAAGAATATAAAAATGGAAAATTCTCTCCTTGTCAATTTTTATAAAATTTGGCCAACGACCCTGTACTATAGTACAGGGAGTTTAGTCTGATTTTGGAGCAACTTTAAAAATTCATATAAAATCTAATTTTGATAGAAATCAGTTCAAACTTTCTACGCAACATAAAAACATGTATATGCATTAGATAAGAATATAAAAATGGAAAATTCTCTCCTTGTCAATTTTGATGAAATTTGGCCAACGACCCTGTACTATAGTACAGGGACTTTGGCCCAATTTTGGAGTAATTTCAAAAATTTGTAAAACATCCAATTTTGATTGGAATCAGTTCAAACTTTCTACGCAACATAAGAACATGTATATACATCAAATAAAAATATAAAAATGGAAAATTCTCTCCTTGTCAATTTTGATGAAATTTGGCCAACGACCCTGTACTATAGTACAGGGACTTTGGCCCAATTTTGGAGTAATTTCAAAAATTTGTAAAACATCCAATTTTGATTGGAATCAGTTCAAACTTTCTACACAACATAAGAACATGTATTCTCTATGTCAATTTTGATGAAATTTGGCCAACGACCCTGTACTAATTTTGGAACAATTTTAATAATTCGTAAAAAATTAATTTTGATCGGAATCAGTTCAAACTTTCTACACAACATAAATGCATGTACATGTATATGCATCAGATAAAAATATAAAAATACATGTAAACTAAGAACAATTTTTGGCAAGATACGACATGTACATGTACCTTGTACAGCACAGGGTCTTTGACTTAGAAGCACTTTGCCAAAATCTTGCACATGCATCAATCACTGCATGTATGACGTGTACATGTACATGTATGTGTACATATCAGTGCATTGTTACAGTACAGAGTGCATTACTAGTATTGTAATCTTACAGTACTTATCTATTTCTATCTCTTCTTTTTCTCTCTCTATTCCTCATTAGGTTCAGTTCACTCAGCAACCATTGAATAATCTAAGGAAGCGTTTTCCTATGATAACAAAGAATGGGTTTGTGCTTTTAAACAAGTTCTTTGCGTACGATCCAAAGAGAAGAGTTACTGCTGAAGATGCACTAAAACACGAATATTTTGAAGTAAATATTAATATTAATAATAATTATTATATAACTAGACTACATAATAATGGTGCTAGACTACTAGTAATTGTAATAAAGTAATGATGATGATGGTAGAGGCTTAATTCAGAAGAATAAATTACTAAAAGTGTACATGAACAGTAGTATACACTTGTATGAATTTATATAGAGCTGCTTTTTTCACTGTATATTGTGTGTGTTTGTGTATAAGTGAAAGTACTACTTTTGTATGTGGACTAGTTTTTTCATCTTTGTACATGTACATGTACTTGTACTTGTACGTCAATTCATTACATGTCTTTTGGCTTTGCTCCTAATCTTGTTGTTATGTGTACTACCTGTACATGTTATGCATTGCTAGGAGTCTCCCCTACCAGTTGATCCCAGTATGTTCCCAACGTGGCCTGCTAAGAGTGAAATGACTAAGAAATCGGTGAGACCAAAGAGTCCAACAGCACCTGAAGGAGGAGCATTCTTCTTCAATCAAAAGGTATTAGAATTATTAATGAATTAGAATTGGCTGAAGCCTTGGTTGTGTATTGTATGATAAAAATGATGTTTTAAGTATTATAGACAGTGACTATGTAATATTTATAACGTATGTACATGTTGATGTACATGTAGTTCACAGTTCACATGTGTCTACATTTGATTTATTTTAGTGGTTATTTTTTCTTTCTTTGGTATGGTATGACAGTGTAAAAACTATCCTGGGTCAAATACGACCTCTTGAATCTCAGTAGAGAAGGCAGCCAGTATCCAGAAAGAAGTCTGCATGCAACTAGTAGTGCCTACTAAATGTGTCAAAAGAGCTTTTGCAACTTAGAAAATCTCAAGCTCTTGAGGGCCTAACTGTGTATGTGTAGCCATGTTAATGTTGCACTTGAAACCACACCTTCAATTAATACTAGCCACACCTTTCATCAATGATCAATAATCAGTAAAAATTAAATGTACTGCAGTCTGCAGTACTACTGCTTAAAGTTAATGTAATGTATTGCTTGTGGCAAGGGTCTGCACTATAAGTGCTTTTCATACATGTATAAGTCATGAATGGGCTTTGATCCCGTAGACCTGGATTTAACGATTAGAGTCCCATTTTTCTGTTATAAAAATGAACAAACATTAATATCAATAAATATTTAATAAGTCGTCCCAGACAAGTAAAAATTTTGGTTAAGTTGTCCTTGGACAAGGTTAATAAATAATTAATTTTGAGCCCGAAGGCTATAGCCCATGGTTTTTTCAAAAAACGGCTTCAAATTGCTCCAAATTTGTATTACATTTTTTGATACATATTGATGTACTTAGAAAGTTTGAGCTGATTCCAACTTCAATTTTTCAAGTTACAGTCATTTTAAGAAAACGCCAAAAATATGTAACATACCCAAGGCTATATATAGCCCATGGTTTTTTTCCAAAAAATGGCTCTGAAATCATTCCAAATTTTTACTACATTATTTGATACATATTGATGTCCTAATCCTATAGAAATTTTGAGCTGATTCCGACTTCAATTTTTTGAGTTACAGCCTTTTTTTAAAATGAGTCAAAGTTGGAAAAATAAAGTATAGCCCATGGTTTTTTCCAAAAAATGGCTCCAAAATCACCCTCCATTTTAATTGCATTTTTTGATGCATATTGATGTACTTATGCGCAATTGCCCATTTGACTGAGTTAATTCCAATTAAGTTATGGTATAACATGAAGAAATCAATAGATAAAGCATCATCTCCCCTTGTCTTATACAGCTTATTGTACTGTACATTGTTTCTATAATGACAGTAAAATTTCATACCATCAAACATTAACCTTACAACTTGTACAGTACATGCATAAACACTGTAGTGGAACAACACACGAAAATATTTCATTAATATAATTTCATATGCTACTGTTGCTACATGAGTAGTGAAGTGAGTGATGTAAGTGCTTATATTCTTAGCATATTTATAATGGGAACAGTTGTTAGTATAGCATCAGTTAGGCTTAGTACACAATATCATGTGTTGCGACAGGAAGTGCACCGGAAGTGCTGTACAAATGCTGCGAGTTAATGCACAAGTTGACCAAAGTTCAACTCTTGTGTTGTTGACGCGTGTGCCATTGGTTTGTACAGCACTTCCGGTCGCGTGGCTCATATTGTGTACTAGGCCTTAAGGCCCCCATACACTAGGCAACATGTTGCTAGCAACATTTGTGGTTACTTTGATCTTGTAAGCAACATGTTGCTAAAAATAGAAATCAGTTCTATTTTTGCAACAAGTTGCTCAAAAAATCAAAGAAACCACAAATGTTGCTAGCAACAAGTTGCCTGGTGTATGGAGGGCTTTACGCATACTAAGATAAACTACATGCACAATATGCAAACTATGTAAACTACAAGTACAGTAGTTATGATAGCAAACTGACGTTACAGGCACTGAAACTATACACGCACTAAATGACGATTGTTTGTCAACTTGGACCTAAAGACAGTGGTTCATGATGGATAATATTAATGATAATTTCACACTAAGTGATGTCATCAATGGCCCACTGCTAGCTGCTGCGTTTGCTACAGAGATGATTGGAGGACTCATAACTAACTCATTAGTACTGATACTCACTGCATCTCATCTAAAGACTTGGAAGCAACCAACAACCATCTTTCTCTCTAACATGCTCCTCAATAACCTGGTCATTGGGATCTGTATCATTCCTTTTGCTATCATAACAGCTGCTGTGGGTGAGTGGATATTTGGAAGGACAGAGAAGGAGAAAGAAACCGTCTGTCAAGTCGTTGGGTGCATATTCACATTCACTATCCTTACAGCAACAGAGAGCCTAGTACTACTCTCCTTTGATAGATTCTTTTTCATCACAAAATCATTTCAATACAATAAGTACATGACTGTCAATAAAGCACTAGTAATAGTGTCTCTCTCATGGGCACTGGCTGTCTTTTTAAGCATATTACCATTTCTTGGATTTGGAGTCCATGAGTTTTTGTCCGGTGTTGGCCTGTGTGTCGCTGGATGGAATGGTCAAACTGCATATGCCATAGTCTCTTTCTTAGTCCTCTGTATATTCATTGGTAGCATCATAGTCACATCAATATGGACTCTGTGCTTTACAAGGAAGCATATCAAAAAAACTGCAATACGAACGTCAATTGGTGCAGAAAGAAGCAATCATACACAAGAGAGAAAAGTGATTGGTGTATTTGGAATGTTAATAATAGTACATTTACTGTGCTATGCTCCTATTATCTCTTTTGGATTGGTTGAATCATTTATTAATGTTTTGACACCAACAGCTTATGCAGTGGCTGTCTTTATTCTCTTTTTGTTGATCACTCTCATTCCACTGGTCCAGTCATTCTTTAGGAGTGACATAAGGACTGCTATTGTTAAAGGGTCTATGACTGTTATTGCTTTTACTAAGAGGTGCAGGACGACTCCTCATCAAATTTCGACTGTTGAAATGATAAGACCTTCAACTCCAATAACATCATCTTCCTCAATTTGAATTCTCATCATGCACACAAAACTGCTAATAGTAATAGTAATTTAAACTTGTGTTTGTAGAATTTACCATTTTAATAATTTTTCCTAATGCATAATACAAGCCCTTACATTATGTAGAAGTTTTGAGTTGATTTCGATTAAAATTGGTTTGTTTAAAGTTGCTCAAAAATCAAGACAAAGTCCCTGTACAGGATCATTGACCAAATTTTACCAAAAGATAATTTTTAATTTTTTTCAGATGCATCTACTTGTTCTTATGTGCATAAAAAGTTTGAGCTGATTCCGATCAAAATTGAATTTTTACGAATATATAGTTGCTCAAAAATCAAGCCAAAGTTCCTGTACTTATAGTACAGGGTTATTGGCCAAACTTTGCCAAAATTAAAAAGAAGAGATTTTCCTTTTTATAATTTTTAATACATACACATTGTTATGTTGCATAGAAAGTTTGAGCTGATTTAGATCAAATTTGAATTTTCTGCAAATTTTCAAAGCTAGTCAAAAGCAACATACTATAATGTATAAATATTTAATCAACAATGTATCATGCAACCTACTGACTCAAATTTCAATATTTTGATCATGACAGATTGTAAATTGTGTATTATTTAAGTGATGTTATAATTTCTAATACCGTATAGCAGGTTATTTTCGGCGGTTGAAAATTTCAACTGAAACCAGAAATGGCTTTAGAATAAAAATCCGTTGGTTTTATTTTCGACTAGACAAAAATAATTGATCTGATGTCTTCACTAGCATCTGTAGGACTGACAGCATTAGAAAGAGGTCCCCTGGTCCTGTAGGGCCTGGAAGAGATTCTTTAGAAGGTGAACACCATTTTCAAGGCCATCCATGCTTGTTATCATGTTATTAATAATTTATTATGGTCACGCCTATCTTCAGAATTAATTTTCATCAGAATTAATAGCAACAAAACAGACGAAAATAAGCACCAGTCGAAAATTACCCGTTATACGGTAGCAGCAGAGTATAGAAACATTAAATTTTCAATTCTGTATTTTATAACCTTTGAAAAATGCCTAGTCCATTACATGCAATGAAAGTACAATTGTCTTTCTTTTCCTCTCTCTCTCTCTTCCTCTCTCTCTTTCTCTCTCTCTCTCTCTCTCTCTCTCTCTCTCTCTCTCTCTTCCTCTCCCTCCCTCTCTCCCTCCCCTTGCCCCTCCTTCTCTCTCTCTTTCTCTCTTTATAATAACTTTGGTTATGTATAGTATGATTAAAATAATGTTTTAAGTATTATAGACAGTGACTACCGTATAGCGGGTTTGTTTGTGAGGCTAAACTTTCATTCTTTTCGTTTTTTAAGATGGGAGAACAAACAATTAACCCAACGAAATTCCAGTTTTAATGGGCGTGGTAGCTTATTAACGTCTTCAGAATGAATGTTTAACCTCACGAAAGTCATTTTGAGGATGGAAAACGAAAGTTTACCCTCACAAAACAAACCCGCTATACGGTATGTAATATTTATAACGTATGTACATGTTGATGTACATGTAGTTCACAGTTTACATGTGTCTATTTGTCATTATTTTAGTGGTTATTTTTTATTATTTGTCACTCCTACAATGTATATTGGTTAATTTGATATTTTTATTTGGTATTAGGGTAAAGATGGTGAAGATGAGAAGTTTCAGTTACCAGATTCACAACCAGGGAAAGCTGGATTTACTTTAAAGTTCTAAACCCAGGGCCCCCTTCCACCTCTCTCCTCCAAGCACACAATAACTATCACTGCTATCAACTTCTTAATTGTTATATTAAAATAATTTTCTGAATGCATTTTATTTAATTTTGTGTACTTTTTGCAGCTGGAAGGATTAATCTCCATAGAGAATCCATGACTTTATTGACTAATGCAAAGAGCATAAAAGAAATTTCCGTTAAAAAATTAGTCTCACCCACTTTGTGTCGTTTGCAAATCAGAGGAAATGAACAAAAATAAACTACCACACATTTCAAATTTTAAGTGCACAAAAATTAGATGAATGTATGGATGACAGTCAAAAGCATGAAATGTGAGAACAAAAGATATTTCAAACAAACTAGAATTAAAAAAACAATTAGTTCTTGAAACTGAAAGCATGCATGCAATGTTATCAAATGCAGTTGTTTTTGAAATTATGTGATAAAGCTAAGTACCGAAAAAAACTGCATACTAACTATACATTATGAATTACTAATTAAGTTATTGTCTATACTGTTGTTCTCCTGGTTATATTCTGCTTCTTGTCTGATATAATTATGATAAGTATTTTCGGCAATCTGATAAATATTGACATCATTCTCTCTTACACGATACTTGTATCGTTTAGCTAGCACTCCAAACACTATCAGGATAATAAGAAGCAAAACAGCTTTTGTTAGATGACAATAAAAACTTGAGCAAACTTGTTGATCCTGACACAAAAATAAAAAAAATGACAGAGTAGAACCAACCTGAAATGAAGCATACCACATGCCCACCATCATTCCTCTACACTGGACTGGTGACTGAGCTACTGTAAACTCCAGTGAAACAGGATTGACTAATACATAAGATATTCCAATAAGTATTTGATAAAAGAAGCCCTTCCATGTGATACTTATAAATGGTACCATATTAAGAATTAATGAGACCAAAGCAAAGCAGAGTCCAAGACCCATCCTACATAGCATGCTAGGGATATACCTGTTGAAGAAAACCTTAATAATGTACAAGTACATCATTATTAGTAGAAATGAACTAGCAACATGAACAGCATCATTTGACAGCAAGCAAATTAAAAATGAAGCATCATCATTAGATAGATTATAATAATATTCTCTACTTAGTGAATAACCAATTATTGCAATGTATAATGGTATCATACGAAAGATTGTCTTCACATCTTCTACCTCTTCCTCTGTGAATGGTCCACCATATTTATCCTTACCCAGGTCTAGTCTTGAAGGAGCCTTTTCCTCCCAGTAGGTCAGAGCACTACGATTCTCAGGATACTTGTGCTTCCTGGCATAACACAATACTCTAACTATCAGTTTGATGGGATTCTTGATCAGTGTTGTATTCTCCAGTTTGTGTTTGAAGAATGAATGAGACACCAGTACAAGAGACACAGATACACCTGATAGTATAAACATGACCAAGTTAATGCATTTATAAGTATCAAAACAGTCAGCAAAACTAAAGAGCAAATATTGGATTGGCAAGGCAGCACAATGCCAGTATATTACAGTGTTTAGTTCATCGGATGACACCCCAATAAGTTGATCAATCATGTACTGAATAATGTTAGCAAGAAAAAAAGCTATTCCAGTATGCTGAGTCAGATAAGCCATGCTAAATACTGACCAATACAGTGCTTTATTGAATTCATATGTTTGTATGATGAGCCCAAACCCAGATATAATCCATGATATAAAACATAGTGTCATACCTATCAGTATAGCTTTGTATTTACCAATATGTACATCAGCTAATAGCCCAAAGAAAGGAAAAAAATAAAAAAAGAAAGAGCCAAAATCAAATATATACTCAATATGAGGATCAGTTTGCAGAAAATACCCAATACCAAGTTGAAAGCACAATAGGTGATCCCAAATAAGAACCAAGACAGCTGCAAAGGAGGTAAGGAAAGCAAGATTAAATTTCTTTGCCATCGTTGAAGTGAACCTATCCCATACTAGCACTGATAACAACAGGCTATAGCATATATCGAAACTAAATGTATATACAATTGAATACATCTTATGTAAACAATAAAGTTAGTTTTTTATCTTTCAGTATGCAATCAAACATGTCAACTGCTACGATCGACTCTGCACAAAGAATTGCAGCTAGGAGATGTATGCAGGAATTTAATCATGCATACATTATAAATCTATACTTGCTACCAGCAAGCTGCTTAATTATTGACATTTGAATGTATGAGGAATGTAACTTTGCTAGTGTATTTATAGACCCATTAACCATAAATGCTTTGTTGTGTGTCTTTAGAATGAGCAATAAACCACAAATTATTTTTAAAATATATCTACAACTTAACACATAACTAAAAAGAGAAAGATAAATGGTATTACAAAAAAGATAAAAATTAAAATGTATCATAGCAATGAAGTTCAATATAATAATAGTTTACATACTATATGAATAATGAAGTTGTCATAATTATTAATATTATTCCTGCAAATTAGAAGAGAGAGATAAGGTACAGTTTATTACTCTCTCTCTCTCTCTCTCTCTCTCTCTCTCTCTCTCTCTCTCTCTCTCTTTATTTTATAATAATTTTGGTTATGTATAGCATGATTAAAATGATGTTTTGAGTATATAGACATTGACTATGTAATATTTATGACATATTATGTACATCTTGATGTATATGTAGTTCACAGTTTACATGTGTCTATATGTGATATTTTTTATTATTTATCACTGCTACAATGTATATTGGTTAATTTCATATTTTATTTGGTATTAGGGTAAAGATGGTGAAAATGAGAAGTTTCAGTTACCAGATTCACAACCAGGGAAAGCTAAATTTACTTTAAAATTCTAAACCTAGGGTCTTCTTCCATCTCTCTCCTCCCTCATTTTTGTACACAATAGCTGTCACTGCTATCAATTTCTTAATTGTTATATTAACATAAATTTCTAAATTCATTTTATTAAATTTTGTGCATGGTGCTGTGGTTGGAATAATAACGCCTATGTCTACACAAATACTTTAGCTGGGTATTTTCTGAATTCTAGATAAGAATACTAGAGTATTCCTTGCACCAATATCTATGCACACAAACCCATTGCAAGCACAAGAAAACTGCAGTTCAACCCATTTAGGCACTAGTCAAAATCATGTAGATCTACGTACATTGATTTGATGATTCTATAGGTACCGTCACTTTGATCATGCTTTGATTATGTTTTGTCAGAAAATAAAAAAACAGCAATTAGATTTACAGTTTTTCATTTTGCTTGCGGTGTAACTATATGATACTAAATATAGATTCACAATAGTTATTCAATAAAATTGTTATTGTATTATATTAAGTGACTATAAAATTGTCTAGAAGTAATCCTTCATCAATAATAGTCAAATTTTACACACTGAGCACAGTACATCATAAAATTGAAAGTAGTCTCTTATTCCAAACAACATACAAACTATTATTTAGTGTTTATACTGTTCTCCAGTTGATTATCATATTCTGCTTTTTGGTTGATATAGTTATGATAAGCATTATCAACAATCTGATATATATTTTCATCATTCTCTCTCACACGATACTTGTATCTTTTAGCTAGCACTACAAACACTATCAGGATTATAAGAAGCAAGATAATCCTTGATAGATGGTAATAGAACTTTAAAGAATTAAATATAAAGCTCAAACAAATTTTTATGACAAAACCAATCTGCCATGAAGCATACCATATGCTCACTATCACTCCTCTATATTGGGCTGGTGACTGTGCTACTGTAAACTCCAGTGAAACAGGATTGATAAAAACATAAGATATTCCCAATAGCATCTGTGAAAGGAACTCCTTCCATGTATTGCTTAAAAATTGTAGATCCAGTACATTAAAAGTTGAAGTGACCAAAGCAAGGAGCAATCCAATGACTTGACAGCAGACAAATTAGAAATGAAGCATCATTTTTGACAGTGAAATAATATTCTAAGCTCATTGAATACCCAATTATTGCAATGAATAATGGTAACATACGACAGACAGTCTTTACATCTTCTACCTCTTCAATTGTGAATGGTCCACCATATTTATTTTTACCCAGGTCTATTCTTGAAGGAGCCTCTTCCTCCCAGTAGGTCAGAGCACTACGATTTTCAGGATACTTGTGCTTCCTGGCATAACACAATACTCTAACTATCAGTCTGATGGGATTCTTGATCAGTGATATATTCTCCAGTTTGTGTTTAAATAATGAATGAGACAGCAGTACAAGAGATACAGCTACTCCTGATAGTATGAACATGACCAGACTAGTGACATTAAAACAGTGAGCCAAAATAAGGAGCAACGAAGTAAGTGGTAAAGCAGCAGAATGCCAGTATATCACAGTGTTTAGTTCGTCAGCTGAAGCTCCAACAAGTTGATCAATAGTATACTGAATGACATTAGCATTAAAGAAAGCTAAACCAACACACTGTGTGAAATAGGACATGCTATATACTGACCACTGTACTTCATTGGAAGCATCATAACATTGCATGATGTATCCAAGCCCAGACATAATCCATGACATAAAACACAATACTATACCAATCAGTATGGATTTGTATCTTCCAATCCACACATCAGCCAATAGACCAAAGAAAGGAGAAGAGAGAAAAAACAAAATTCCATAATCAAGAATAGAGTCGATATTAGAAACAGATTTTAGAAAATACCACTCAGTGCCAAAATGAAAGCACAAAAGGTGATCCCAAATGAGAACTAAGACAGCTGACAAAGTGGTAATAAAAACCATTTTAAATTTCTTTGCCATGATCAAAAATGCTCCTAATCCTTCCGAGCACAACACTTGTTTATTGGCCAGCATGACAAAGGAACTGAAAGTATGCAGAAACATCCTTTGAGAAGTTATTCTTGAAAGTGTCACATCCATACAAGTTGAAATTTTACAGTTTATGCAAACCTCAATTGATTGTGCTACGCCATAACAAAATATTTTTTGCATGATTATGTCTATGGACTATAAAGTATTGACAATATAGTCTTTTTATATACAAAAAATTCAATAATTAACTTTCCTATGCATATCTAATTATTATAGTCAAAGTTACTCATCGTCTTGTATCCTAACTGTAGACCAGGTATAGTCCACATGCAGATTTTTATTCGAAGGAATTACTCTGAAGATGTACATATACATCACTTCATAAAGTGTTTCCTTTATATTATCATTGACAATGTAGAGAGTTACACAGGTACTGTTCTTATATGGAGGCAGTATTACATGAAAGTTGAAGAAAATGTAATCAACTAAATAAAAGAGAGGAGAAAATCTGTGTAATACTATAAGTACAGCAAGGATTTTTTACATTGATATTTGGCAGTTAGTTGAGAATCAAAAAGGTAAATGTTAATTGGGGTTGATAAAATTCCTCCAGTTAGGACAACACATATTTCGACACTAGTTTGATTTTCCGTAACATCATACAACCCTCTTTCCAGGAACAAATTAATGACTATATATATAAACATAAACAATAATTGTCACATCAATTGAAACAACTCTCACTTTCATTTACTTACCATCATCATCCTCTACAGTCACATTCATTGTTCCTGGATTACCTAAACCTATATTACCAATGTTTCTTAATCTTAGTAGATAATGTTTATCAGGTTCCAGTGCAATGTTATTATCAACTACTGGAAAACTGATACTCCTGTTCTGTGTTAAGACACCAGTACCAAAAGTGACAAAACCCAGTGATATTCCATCTATTTCATTGCATAATGATACATAATATAACATAACATTATAAACATACTGCTAGTTCCATTATCAATGTAAACTTCCATTGTTTGTTCTTGACTCAATTGTCCTCCTCCTAGTATGACAGTGATTGATTGATTTCCTCCTCCTTCAGAGAATGTAGCTTGACCAATAGCAAACCTTACTTCAGCCTCTGTAAGGTAAATAATAAACACAGGGTTTTATGAATGATTATACTAAAGATCATCATCTTGTATCCTGATGAATGAAGAACTCAAATCTACTGTTAATGCACAATTTTCTGGAAAGATACTACTTATATATACTGTAAAGTTCTCAAATAGTGATTCTCTAATGGTATCATTGATAATATTAAATCTACCACATGTCCTGTTTGTAAATGCATGTAATATTGGACGAACTCTACGAGTTCTATAGTCACCTAATGTAATTAAAGGACACATAATGCAACTAATATTAATATTAAAATTTACTCCTAAATCGTGCAGTGTTGTCTCTAGCTTGTAGAATAATTTCTGTATCAGTTGATAATACTCCTCCAGTTAGTACAGCACATATTTCTACAGTTCCTTCATTCTCAATCATATCATATGTTCCTCTCTCTAATGACAGCACACCAGCTATAGAATGAAGAAATAGATATTGCCACATCTCCACTCAATTATTATACAATTTACTGTCATCATCAATAATGGTGATGGTAGCTGTCTGCCGGTCTCTCCGTACTTGAACAACATTATCTCCAACAGGTAATATGATGACTCTTATTGTTTCATTTCCCTCAATGATATTATCATCAATACTTGTGATAGGAGTGAATGGAATATCATTCAGTGCATTATTAACACTGTAGGTTAATCTTGGAACAACAGAATTAAGGGAATAATCACTACCTATAATTATTAATACCATTATACATATATATTATAGCTAGTTTATTTTGTGTGAAATTAATTTTTGATACAGGCTCAAATCCACCCACTAAACTTATTAACATCAAAAAAAAATTAAGAAAAAGTTTGTCATCTACGAATTATTTCCAACAAAAAATGTAAACAATGAAATTGGAGGCTTCAAAATAAACCAACTATATAGTATTAAAAACAAACTACATGAATATGCTATTACTGACCATTTGTAGCAGTCCCAGATTTGTGTTTCACTTGAACTGAGTATATTCGGCTCTCTGGAAAGCCTCCAATGTCTATACCACCTTTCTCATCTCCTATCTGCTTTATAGTTAATGAGGCAACTTCTCCTTCTCTGATAGTAACATTTAGGCTTTTGAAACCAATACTGAAAACTATAATCAAATCCCTTGATAAAGTTATTTCTTGATAATAAAAATTGACTTACCATCTTGATTGTCAACTCTTACTATTTGAGTTGTTTTATCAGGATCTAGTCTAACTCTAGAATCATTAACACTGAGTCTCCATCTAAACACTTCTTGTAGTTCTACAATATTATCCCGTGGCATGAAGAATGTTACATGTTCAAAGCATTGATCAATTGCTGTTGCTGGGTGAAATACAACACTACGCTGCTCAGTAAAGTCGAAGAGATCTAAATTAATGGGTAAATAATGATAAAAGTTAGATGTAAATTAAAATTTGTCATACCAAAGTCTCCAACAGCAGCTTCATCATGACTCAATGGGCCAGTATACCTCTCAAGTGAGACAGTGACTTCAAAAGGAGATTCATATGTAATTACTTGACGTCCAATGACAGCTACAGCATTTATACCTTCTAAAAATACTGATGGAGGTTCAAGACCAACAGTAATTACTATAAAATGAAAGAGTGTGTGATCACAATAAACTGATTCAGTATAAACTCACTGTCTATATCCTCTATTGTAATGCTAAGACGTCTGTATACAAGTACAACTCCTGATGGTATTGCTGGATCACCTGGATCAGTTTCAACAGCAATCAAGTAATCAAATGAAAGAGTTGGTTGGAGAGCAACAGCATTCCCTTGTGACAAATAGCGTATGCTAAACCTTTCTGGTAGAAAACTATTGGTTCGTCCAGCAAAATCTGAGCTCAAGTAGTCAGCAACTGAAATCAGAGAAAAATAAATACAAAATAAATAAATCATTACCTACCATCAACTAGCATAGCTGACTCTCGTGAAATAACATAATCCAGATCAGTAACATCAGGAGCCCCAGGAGTACTGAGGAGTACATCAGCAGTAAATGAGTATCTTCTACCAGCATCACTTGGACCAATATGCACACATGATTGATCAAAACCAACAACTAGTGGATACAAAGTAAAATAAATAGATATGGCTTAAGATAATAACAGTAAAGTAATAAAACAACTCGGTGTTTGTGTTACAATGATTATCTTACCAACACATGCACCACATTGTTGTGCTGCAGCTAGTGAAGAATGAGATATATATCCTCCACCAGTTCTATTACAGCAGTCAATAGCTGCAAGACTGACTCCATTAGTATTACTAGTACAATCAGCAGCAGATGAATAACACTGTACAGTAACACCTTCCTGTAATTGACCTTGAACAGGAGCTACACACAAGATAAAAATTACCTTGGCATACAAGTATAGTATATACCTGCAAGCAATAGCAAAAAGAAAGGAAATAGATCTAATAGAACAAGAGCCATCTTGACCTTTCTCACATGACCAATGTGTGGTTAGCCTATAGTTACTACACTGTAGAAACTATTACTATAAACCTATTGATAATGATAAGAAAAATAATCATAAATTATAAATATAGATAAAAAATTTATAAGCTGCCTGCCATTTATTAGAGCAGTTTTAATCACCAGTACAAAACATTTAACTACTAGTAAAGTAAATTTGTCAAAATGGTAAAAAAACCCATGCAGGAATAAACACAATTAAAAAGGGAAATGAATATAGATCTAATATGATTTAAATTTATGGTCACTTTTCAGTTTGGAGTGGATAGTAGTACAGCATTCATACCTCTTCCAATGTTCATTGTTACTGTATTATTAATAGGGACTATGTTGTGCATAATTTGCTTTACTTTTTCTTTCTTCTTTCAATCAATTATTATCCCTTAAATTTAATGTTCTATCCCTTTAATATAGTAATTATAATAAATACAAATAAACAAAAAAATTTATTGCTACATTATTTTGCCATTATTCCAGGCTATACAAAAAATCATTCACCTCAAGCTAACAATAGTTTATATATGCTTTCCCAGGAATGGTGAAGTTAATGATATTCAGTGTTTATGTAGCATCATGTGTGTGAATATATTCAACACATTCCTTACTATGATACGCATAATTATTCATTACTTATGATAAAAATGAGTCATGTGAGCCAAAAAAGCTTACACAGCACATTATTTTCTATCTTGTTTTTGTCTCTATACTAATCTAGAACTATATAGAAGTAGATCTGTACTGTCAAGCTATTAAACCAGTGAGTTGTGTAATGTACTAAAACTATTATTACTGATTCTAAAAACAGCTTCTCATAGTAGATCTACTTATATATAAGTACTTATATGCATAGTTCCCATTTCTAAACACAGGGTAATCTACCAATTGTTTGTATTATGCTACTCTAGGCTTCTTATAATGGCTACTGTTGATAGCAATGAGGAGGATGGAGAGATGCAGTCATCAACTGACTATTATGACCTCCTGCAAGTAGACAAAGATGCAAGTCGAGCCGATATCAAGGCTGCTTATCATAAAATGTCTCGAAAATACCATCCAGACAAAACCCTTGATTCAACAACGGAAGAAATAATGAAGAAGCTCAATGATGCAAAGACAGTCCTACTGGATGAAGTGAGAAGAGCAGAGTATGATGATAGACTTGAAGGAGATGATATTGTCACTGATCCTAAAGGATTTCTACCCAGTGGTATGTATAGCCTATTAATGATAATTAGGGTTTCCTACAAATTTTGACAAGGCCCCAGCTTCTTATTGCCTCATGTGTGGGGCATATAATTTGTGCTAATAGAATGTAGCTTTGCTAGTGTATTGATAGACCAATTAACTATTCATGCTTTGTGGTGTGTTTTGACTGTTTTCATAATAAACAATAAACCACAAAATTAAACTTCAGTAAATGATTAGTTGGATCAAAATTGAATTTTTTTATAATTTTTAAAAAATTTTTAAAAATTGGACAAAAGTCCCCATACTATAGTACAGGGTCGTTGGCCAAATTTGATCATAATTGACAAGCAGAGAATTCTCTATTTTTAATAATTTTTTTCTGATGCATATACATGTACTTATGTTGTGTAGAAAGTTTAAACTGACTCTGATCAAAATTGAATTTTTCATAAATTTTTAAAATTGTTCTAAAATACGATGAGCTATCTATTATGTAGACTACTCTTAATCGGTACAGGGTAAATCACAAAAATTGGCCGGGATAGAATTTTTCATTTCATTATATTTTCATGTTTTTGAGCCGATTCTAATTTAAAGGAAAATTTAAAGTTGGTTCAAAAGTTGGCCAAACACTATAGACTATAGCCCATGGTATTGGCTAGGATCCAAAAAGTTGACCAAAAACCATAAACTAATCCTATATGGCTTGATATCAGCTTAGTATACTTTTTGGAAAATCCTGATGTTATTTATCATTGCATACATATGGCATGCTATTTTATTAACAATGATTTTCATTTGATAGGTATATGCTTTTCAAAGCTAGTTCTAAGGAACTTTGATGATTTCAAAAAAGATTTTAAGGAAGGACGCATCAGAGTGCAAGGTGAAATGTTTGAACCACTGCTAGAACAAAAAGTTAGAAGCAAAGTCTTAGACAAAAGAGCTCAATATGAGGTTAATATAGTCTTTAAGAATAATGAAAACACACCAAATCCATTATCAGACACATTGGAAGCCAGTAACAGTCTCCTGTTTGATAATCCTTCATTATCAGCCACTGCAGCCACGATGCACACAAGAATATGCAACATACACAAGAGTGGGCTTTACTCACTCCCTCCTCTGACTGATGAATTGAAACTATTGAGCCTTCAATGCTTGCCACAAGAAGAAGTTGAGTTTCTATACTCATTGCTACTGAATGAGAAAGGCATATCACATGCTAAAATGACATATCATCTTGAAGCTTTGATACCAAAAGTTAGTTACTCTAGACCACTGGCTACTGCCGCACAGAGTAAGACTTGTGCCAGTTGCCAGAGGTACCTTGGATTAAGAGTGAGCTCGTGCTTTTATTGTCAAAAACGTTTCTGCGACAAATGCCACTTAGAGAATTGGAGCTTTTCCCGTTTGGGTCAGACAAAAAAAGAGTCTTTCTGTTCCGATTGTACCAGTACATTAAGTAATCTTGATGCTGAGGATTGGATGCATGTTTCCTTAAAGCATATCAAACAAGGAACAATTGGATCTACCAAGACAGGGCTGGGGTGCCTATCAATGGCCCTGGCATGCAGCACAGACAAGATTAAGCCAATTTTTGATATAGCACAAGCATTCCTTAGCAACAACTTGCCTGAGCTAGCAATGATATTAATTGCCACAATTTTTAATGAAAGCATGTCAGAAAAAATGCTCCTTGATGTACATGTTCTCACTGCTTCGGCTCTAAATGCAATGGCAGCAGAGCAGGATATGGAATGGGAGAGTAGATTAGAACTGCTTCAAGCAGCAACAGAAGTCTGCCAAAAGCATGTGAATACAGCAATGAAGGCTCCTGCACTTATAGCAGTAACCAACAAAACCAGCAAAGCATACGTAAGCTTAATACAAGAAGACCCACTTTACAATGACATTTTTGAGAGGCTAAATAATCTCTGGGCTAACAGAAATATTCAGAAGCTCCTAGAATTTGTTAAGTCAATGATTTTTAGCAACGAAAAAGAAATCAGAAGTAAAATGGCACAAGTTGTTGTTGCGCTAGTGAACATTTATCAAAAACAAATTGACATGATGCCTAAAGATGATCAAGCAGTTATTTTACTGCTTCAAGGCCTTGCAAAACTAGAAAAAGATAATTTAGAAGCCTTAGCTGACATTGAGAAATCTATATGGATCGGAGACCAGCAACTGGAAGAGCCTGTGGTGGATATTTACATCCATCTTCTCACTAAATTCCCTCTCTTTTCTACAAAAGCATTTTATGACCTCTGTCTGTCTAAAGAGTCCCTTCTCAATATGAGCAACAATCTCACAGCTGATGATAGATGCCTTAGACTACTATTCCCTAATGTCAATGAATTAAATTTACCTTTTGAAATTCAATGGCCAAACCTTGGAGTGGTGGGGTTGGAAGTGAAAGGGCACGTTAAGTTTGAAAAAGCAGTTGGATGTCAAGTGAAAGATGGTAACTGGGATGAATGGGAAGCTGCCATAGCTTATCTTGATTACATAGCTGCCTGTGACCATCCAGCTCAGTACACACTATGCTTTATATATGCTTCCCTCTGGCTATACAAGTACATCAAAGCTAATCCCAGTCTTTCCAACAGTCAAAAATATGCCTTAACAAAAGCTATAGCTATCTGTTCCCAGGAAGCAAATGGAGTGGCTTCCCTAAAGCTTTCTCCAGTAATGAAGCTTTATGTAGCACGTATATCTCTAGGCATACTATTACATACACTCAATATTACAAAATTGGTTGCAAATGATGAAGTCATAGACCAAGTAGCCTCTCTCATTAACATTGTTATCTACAACAGCAGGTTCTGTCCACTTTGGGACATGCCTTTTGTACCCATATCAGAAGCAGTGCTACTAAACATTAAGGCAAACAGATTTCACAGCAAATTCCTAATTCGTCTACAAGATCTTACAAAGGATCAGATACCACTGAAAGAGCATGAGCTGCATTACCAGTTATACGAGAATGACCTCAGTCATGTGCATCCTCTACAGGATCCAGCTACAGCAAAATCAAGAGCAATGCAGGAACTGCTAATAGAGAAAGGATGGGTCTGGAATGATGTAAGGAACTTATTGACATCTCAGCTTAGTCCCAGAGACAGCAATGGCTGGCTAAAACGAAGCGCTACTCTTGGAAAGAGGATGGAGTTTGCTGAGATTAAAGGATTTCGTTTTAATTCTAATGAAATTAATTCTTCCGTTGAATTGATAGTAATTCCAGCAGCTAAAGGGAGCAATGGCCTTTTTTCACTTGATGACGTTTACACTGTACTGGAGACAGAAGAATTTGAACCAGCATTATTTAGTTTAGATCCACCAAATGTGATGGAGCAGCACTATCATCCATTCCAGCAGTTTTTATATGAACCAAAGAACCTTCAAAACACAGACTTCCTTCACACAATGTTTGAAACAGACTATCTCATGAAATCGTTCACCATTGGGACAGAAGTATCAGCCAAGCCTCCTTTTCTTCAAAGATCATGCAGAGACGGTCTCCTTAAGGGTCTGCCTGAGAAGCTCTGTAAAGCACTCAAACCAATTAATGAACGGCCCGGCAGTCATGGAAATAAAGTTCATCGATTCTGGATCCAAGCTGGCAAGTTAGAGTATTGTAATGAGACCAATGGTGACATAGAAACATTGAGAATTAACAATATAGAAATGGTGATAAGGAGTCATCCATTATTTCCAGGTCAAGATGGGAAACTAGAGGACACAGAGTTTAGTGATGACCCTGAAAGTCCAGAGGCTCAATTTGCAGCAGATATGACTGCGGCTTACAATGAGATTAGCAGATACTTTCCAATGTTTGCTCGCCTGCGTGAGTTAGCCAAACTTCAGTTTATAGTACACTTCTTGAATGCAGAAATAAAAAATTTGAAACAACAAACACTGAAAAAAAATTTTCAAATACCCGAAGATGCGGTGAGCAAGGTACAAAAAGAAATCAAAGCAGAAAAAGTCAAAGACATTCTCAAAAACCTAGATGAACAGATAGGAGTGTGGCCAGGAGCTGAAGATCAAGCAACTATATCCATGCATGTTGACAAATTACTGGAACAAATAGACCAGCAAGTGTCACGTTCAGAAGTTGAGTCTTTATTGAAGCCAAAGCTAGTAGAAGCAGATGAAAAAGTCATACCTAGTCTTGTTGATACTTTGCTGTCTGTGTGTGATGACAAAGTTGTAAAAAGTACATTAGAGACCCTTGTGAGGGAATGGCTAATGGAAAGAAACACACTCAGGCACACTTTATTATTAAATGAAAAAGCAAAGTTAGAGCTGTCCGCATTTTTGAATGTCCATTTACTGGAGTCAGACATCGATGGGATTAGAAAGATGCTACAAGAGCAATTGAATGAAATGATACTGAAAAATGTCAGAAAGTATCAAAATTTCTGTACTCATGTCAAGTCACTGAAGCCTAATCCATACAGAGTAGAGCCAAAAGCATGCAGTTGGGTACCTGCTGCCATGTATAAAGAAGAGAGCCAGAGTTATTATTCATTGTGCTATGGTGGCGTATTCCTTTATTCAGGCATAAAGAGAGGTTATGTCCCTCCATTACCTGGTAATGTGCAGGTAGTGAAAATAAAACCTTGTGACAGATGGGGGTTCTCAAAAAAGCGTCATGCACATACCTCAGCATACAGGCACCATGACTCAGATTTTGCTGTGAAATCTTCACATAGTAGCCAATCAAAAGGTCCAGGAAAAAGCGAGTCATCAAATAAAGGGAATAGTCAGTCAGGAGGAACTAATAGTACAAGAAGTGATGGGACAGAGTCTAATTCATCAGCACACCCTGGAGCAGCTGCTGGGGGTAAAGGAGGAGATGGGGGAGATGGAGATGATGATGACGATGATGATTTTGATGATGATTTTGATGATGAAGATCCTGCATTACTTGAAGAGGAAGATGATTATTATGAAGATGAAGGATACAAAAGAATTGCCAGAAGCATACAAAAGAGTGGAATAAAAACTTTTTTGAAAAAAGCAAAATCTGAAAGTATCAATCCACAGGATATCTCTCTGCAAGAAAAGCAGACATTCATTCTTCTTGTTTACAATGAGATACTTAATGTACTTAACAACCTCGGTTCAGCTTTAACAGGAAAGCTACTTCAATTACAAAAACTAAAATTTCAAGACTACAATCATAAGTGTAGAACCATTACTGGAGTGAATGGGAAAACCTACAATATTCCAGAGCATGCATGTGAAGTCACCGGGGAAACGCAATATGTCATTTATTGCATTATAGACATTAACTCTCAAAAGAAGTACATTGGAAAAACAAAACAACCAATTGAGAAACGCATTAGCCAGCACCTTTACAACATAAGGTCCAACAGAGGAAACAGTCTCATTACCAAACACTTCAGAAGTCAAGGAGGGTTACTGAAAAATTTTAAAGTTATCGTATTAGAGGTACTTCCTGAAGAAATGAGTGAGGAGGAAAAAAAGAAAGAATTACCAAAAGCAGAATCAGGTTGGATGGAGAAACTTGGCACACGAGACAGAGAAAAGGGAGGATTGAATAAAATACGTGCCATTAGAGAGTATAATCCAGAAGAACTAACAATTAATTTTTGTTAAACTGATAAGTTTTAAGCTGAATTAGATTAGATATTTTATTAGTGTTAGCTAGTTTGTGACACAGAAATCATTATTTTGAGTTTAGAAAATTAACTTTTAAATAAAAGTTTCAATGTTAAATCTACATTTACAATATACGTAACTTAATTCATTACGTCAGCTATGTGCAAGTGATGCAATGGGCAGAGAGTTAAACCTAGCCCTATGAGGCAAAGTCTGTGATGGTCTGGAGATATTGAGTATACACTTACTGATATATGCTACCATGTAGAGCATTTTCATTGATCTAACACTGTAAAGCAGGTTTTTCTGAAGACAATATTTTTTGTGAATGACCTGTATCCGGAAGTTCACGAGATTTATTGTCCCTTTATTCTGCCATTTTGTACTGTATTATATTAATTTTCAAGGAATTTACTTTCGCAAATCTTTAAAAAATTGTGAAATTTGTTGTTCTGGTATTTTTGTGGTTTGCTTTTAGTGGGTTTTAATTTTTATTTCCATGGTTGACAGTTTACATAGGTTGTAAGGGAATAAGTGGGTTTTAATAGAGCTGTTGCACGGAAGTAATCAACAGGAGGGTGCAGCTATGATTGTCTGCCATCTTGAGTGGCAAGAATGTACATGGTGGAATTGGGAGAAAGGAGAAAAAATCTGAATAAATTCTGCAGTTTACAATACAGGCTAATGCAAGCTAGGAAATGAAGATATTGAGTAAAAACTCTGCATAATATTCTACAGCCAAGTATTATATTATTTCATTGTTAGAAAATCCCAGTTTGTTTTTGCATCTCCAATTGCTCCATGCACATTCTTGCCACCCAACATGGCGGACAGTCATAGCCGCACCCCCCTGTTGATTACTTCTGTGCAACAGCTCTATTTTGTGGTGTGCCCAAAAACTAAAAATAAAAAAAATAATGCTCTACACAGTAGTCTTGTGTAACAAGACTCATATCACTTTTGAGATTTGGCACTCTCCAAAAATAAAAAAGAAGTAGCTACACCACATTGAGACACTAAATCTTATATTACATTTTTAGTAACTACGTTTATGTATACATGATATGAATACAGGACTTACCATCAGCACCACTAGATAGTTGTTCATCAGGTGAGAGTACCACTTAATGCTGTCTGATGTAAGAATTGGCACCAGACTTTTTGTGGACAGCCTCTACATGTAAATAAATAATTAAATCTAGAAATAAATAAACAAATAAATGACCAATAGTTAATAGAGTGATGAATGGGGCAGTGTTACCTTCTATGAATTGAAAATTCCCTGAATAAAATCCATATTAAGTGCAGAAAATATCCATGTATCAGTTGAAAGCCCACATTCAAAAATTTGAATTCAATTTGCTCAAAATTTATTCTGATCTAGCTAATTTTTGGTAAAAACAAAATTTTTAATCTACATCAGAATTGCAAAACAGAGGCACGAACATATAAATCATAGCCAACATGTATGCATGCACAGTAGCTGATTACCAAAAATTAATAAATCATTTAGCAATTTGTAATTTCAATATTTAAGTCTGAGGACATTTTGCTAATAATCATCATTCTGTATCCTAATAATTGATTGACTCTTGTCTATTGCTACTGCACTGTTCTGTGGATTAACATTGACTATTCCAACTTTAAAGTTCTCATACAGTTCCTCTTTAACAGCATCATTGATAATATTAAATCTGCCACATGTCCTGTTTCCAAATGCCTTTAGTATTGGACAAATTTCATGAGTACTATAGTCACCTAGTAATTACAGGACACAATTCAATGAAGAGGAATATTTATGGTTGCAATATAGTACATGGCACTTGGAGTCTTGGAGCAACTTTAAAAATTCAATTTTGATAAAAATCAGCTCAAACTTGCTTGTTGCTACACAAGCAAGACAACATAACAACATGTATCATGTAATTTATAAAAAAATGGAGAAATCTCTTCAAGTCATTTTTGGCAAAAATTTGACCAAAAAACAAGGATTTCACCTAATTTTTGGGTAGCTTGAATAATTTATAAAAAATCCAACTTTAATTGGAATCAGCTCAAACTTAAAATACAACACACGTACATGTATATACATCAGAAAATTATTAAAATGGAGAATTTTCTTTGAATAATTTTTGGCAAAATTTGATCAACAAACCTGTACTATATCCTGATTTTAGAGTAACTTTAAAAATTTATTAAAAATTTTAATTTGATCAAAATCAACTCAACTGAAATGCAACATACGTACAATGTATAAATATGCATCAGAAAAAAATTATAAAAATTGAGAATTTGTTTCAGGTCTTTGGCCCTATTTTTGAGTAATTTTGAAAATTTATGAAAAATGTATTTTTCATTGGAATTAGCTAGCTAGATCTATATGCAATAAAAATTACTTCTAATTTTAAAAAATATTTAGTGAAATATTTGAGCAACTTTAAAATTGACCTGCAAGTAGGAGCATTATGCCAAAATCCTATGGAAAACCCTGGTAATATTAGATTAGATTAATACTTACTGTTCCATGCTGCAGTGTTATCTCTAGCTTGTAGAGTTATTTCTGTATCAGTTGATAATACTCCTCCAGTTAGTACAGCACATATTTCTACAGTTCCTTCATTCTCAATCACATCATATGTTCCTTTCATTGATAGCACACCAGCTATGCAATGAATAATAAAAGTAAAACAATAAACAAACATTAGAATCTTCATTCTGGTGATGGTAGCTGTCCACCAATTTCTTGGTATTTGGATAACATTATTACCATTACTTAATATGGTGACACTTATCCCTCAATGATATTATCATCAATGCTAGTGATAGGAGTGAATGGAATATCAATCAGTACAATTATGTATTGCTGGAAAATGCACAGTACACATAGCTAAGTATAGAGCCTATGCATGTGCCCAGTCACAGTGTGAGCAATATTAGCCTCATCAAATTTGATGGTGTGAAAACACCGGAGGCTGTTGTAGCTTTTAATAAGTTAGATCTAGTTTGTGACTATAAATTGACATTGTATTTGTAATATTGAAACTATACAGTGAACTATATGGGTAAACAACTATAACCAAGTGAGTCAAAACAAAAACAGTTTAAGCTGAGATATGCACATCATGTATAGCCATAGTGTTTTGTAGCATACACACAATTATAATTAAAATGCACACATTACAATGCCTGATGAGGCTAAAATACAGTTTCATATAGTGCATTATTTGTGACTGTCTCATATGCTGGATTAACATCTGTCTTTATTTCTGATGGCATTTGTAGGGTAAGTTGAACTATTAATAATAAATAATAAATTTTAAAATGTAATGTATATACTTTGTCCATAAGCAGGATTGTTACTCATAAAGTTACCTGATAAAACAGTGAGAAATAAATACCATAATAATTAATAATAACATTTTACTTTTTGTTTTTGTTTTTCTAATATGCCAAACAACTGCAGCAACTGCAATAATGATTGTGATTGGAGCAAACACAATAACAGCACCAACTGCACTACTACCTATCAATACAACTGAATTAATACTGTTGCTGTTGATAGTACTAGGAATTGCTGGTGATATGTTAAGATCAGAGCTACTGGGAGATTCTAAATAAGAGGAAACATTGTATTTTATATTGATCATAATGTACCTGAAGAAGTTAGTACAGGCACATCCTCACTGTAAAGTGTGTGCAATAATTCTAATAATTGAAAATATTACTTAATTACAACCTAATTTATCTTTACCATTACTAGATCTGACAGATGAAGGTGAAGGCATGAATTTAACTACTGTCACTAGTTTAGGTTGTACACATGACCATGGTATGATGCTCTCATTAAGAATATCATAAGCAGTCACAGTATAATGTCCACTGGTTGATAATGATATCGTTGTATTACCTGATCCTGTTATGTTGAAGGATTCACTTCTTTTATTTGCCACATCATTAAATACTACATGACATCCTTCAGCAGTAGATAGCAAAGCATATACACACTCTACACTAACTGACTCATTTTCATTTGATACAATAATATCATAAACATCTGATGATGGTGTGGCTATGAGGAAAAATATAAAATCATTAAAAAATAATATCATTATTATACTCACTAAATGTGAAATTAGTTTTATCTCCTCTAATAAAATAATGTAACACATCAATAACGGCAGTGTATGTTCTACATGGTTTTAATCCAATCATTTTATATTGAAATATTTCTTCTTTTTCATTAGCTTTAATAAACTGAGTATTTTCTTTTATTCCTTTATCAGGGTAAACTCTACCCATTATTGTACTGTCACATGATTGTGTACTGTTTATCTAATAAATGTAGAGCTAAAGTTAATATATTCAATGTTATGTTTACCAAGCTAGTGAGATTGGCACTAAATGTACTATTTGATTCATCATAATTCATTAAAAGACTTTCATAAAATACAGTATAATCTACTGAAGTGAATAGAATGCTTCAATCAAATCATAGACACTTACTTGCAGTGTTGTTAAAACTGTGTACTGTCCCAAGTGACACATATTGTACAATAAAAACAGTAACACTGACATCAAACTCTTTACAAGAAATATTCAATGCTGTACTATTCAACCATACACTAGTATTAGCAGTATTAGTAACACTGATACCATTCACTAGTACATTATATGTTGCAATTCCTCCTGGTAGTATATCATTGGAATAAAAAGAAGGAGGAGACCATGAGAGTAACTGATCATCATTAGACCATTGTAGGTCTTCAACAGATGATATTCCTATTAAAAAATGATTATATAAATAATATTAGATTATTAAACCTCGTATTGTTAGAGTGCTTGTTGAAGTGGTTGGATCAAATGGATTAGAAATTGAATAAATTTGACAAGTGATATTAACTCCATCATTAATAGGCAATACAGCAACTGATAGAACTGATGACAATACATCAGGAGATGCACTAGTGTTGCTAACTATTAAACTTCTTTCTTGATTAAGAGAATGGTCTGTTGGTAAGCCTTCAACTGTCCATCTTAAAACACCACCAGTTCCTTCACAAGTAAAATTAGCTCTTCCTCCTTCATTTAGCAGTACAGTGACTGACTCTGGAGGTGTTGTTATGACTACAGGAAGATATTACAATAAATTGATTAGCAGTATGAGCTAGCCAGCTCCCTCCACTGATAAGATAAGAGGATAAACATGTTCATGATTAGATCTACTACTCTACAAGTCATCATAATAAGGTTCTGTGGTTTTAAAAAGAGGCTCTCCTACAGTCACCAAAACTTCTCCATGGGATAGAAAAAGTTACTTCTACTAAAAAGTAACTTTTTCTAGCCCGTGGAGAAGTTTTGGTGACTTTAGGAAAGCCTCTTTTAATACCACAGATCCTCAAAGCAAGAGTTGCAGTGGACAAAATGAATGAATGAATAAATGAATGAATGACAACACCATGCTTAAGTCATAGATATTAGAGTAAATGAATTAATTCATTCATAAGTAATTCATTTACTCTTTATCTCTGCTTAAGTTAACTACATAGTCCTCGCCCACGCTAATCGCTAGGGTGCAAGACTAAAGTCCTCGCCCACACTAATTGCTGCTGAGGCCAAAAAGACGAACCTGGGGTGGCTGGTAACATATCATAATCTACAGAACTGATGCAATAAGTGGAGTTGTGTGTATTGCAAATGTAGCTTTACTGTTATTATCAATGATTGTGATGGTAGCCGTCTGCCGGTCTTTCTGTGCTTGAACATTATTCCCAACAGGTACTATGACGACTTTTAATGTTTCATTTCCCTCAATGATATTATCATCAATACTAGTGATAGAAGTGAATGAAATATCATTCAGTGTATTATTAACACTGTAGGTTAATCTTGGAACAGTAAAATTTATAAGGAAATCACTACCTATAATTATTAACATTAAAAAACTACATGAATATGTTTGTTTATACTAACCATTTGTGGCAGTCCCCAATATAAGTTCCAATTGAATTGGTTGTAAACCATCCTCTGGAAAGCCTCCAATGTCTGCACCACCAGTCTCATTTCCTATCTGCTTTATAGTTAATGCTGCCCCTTCTCCTTCTCTAATAGTCACATTTACATCTTTAAATCCAATATTAAAAACTATATTGTAAACAGAATGATAATAATCAATATCTCATGAACAAATGACTTACCATCTTGATTATCAAGTCTTACTAATTGAGTGATTTTTTCAGGATCTAGTCTAACTCTAGAATCATTAACAGTGAGTCTCCATCTAAACACTTCTTGTAACTCAACAATATTGTCCTGTGGCATTATAAAAATTAGTTCTCCAAAGCGTTGCTCATTTAATGTTGTTGGTCGAAATACATAGCTATGCTTCTCAGTAAAGTTGAAAAGATCTAATTAAAGGAATAATTAATCATAAAGAATTACTTATGTCATACCAAAGTCTCCAACAGCAGCTTCATCTTGAGACAATGGGCCAGTATACCTCTCATTTGAGACAGTAACTTCAAAAGGAGCTTCATATGTAATTATTTGACGTTCAACCCTAGCTGTAGCACTACTACCTTCTAAAACTATTGATGGAGGTTCAAGACCAACAGTAATTACTATAAAGAGAGAGATGATGATGATCACAATAAACTGATTCAATACAAACTCACTGTCTATGTCCTCTATTGTAATGCTAAGACGTCTGTATACAAGTACAACTTCTGATGGTATTGGTGGATCACCTGCAGCTGCATCAGTTTCAGCAGCAATCAAGTAATCAAAGGAAAGAGTTGGTTGGAGAGCAACAGCATTCCCTTGTGACAGATACCGTATGCTAAACCTTTCTGGTAGGAAACCATTTGTTCGTCCAGCAAAATCTGAGCTTAAGTAGTCAGTAACTTAAATCAGAGAAAATTAATATAAAGTAAATAAAAGCATTATCTACCATCAACTGCTGGCTCTCGTGAAATAACGTAATCCAGACCAGTAACATCAGGAGCCCCAGGAGTACTGAGGAGTACATCAGCAGTAAATGAGTATCTTCTCCCAGCATCACTTGGACCAATATGCACACGTGATTGATCAAAACCAACAACTAGTGAATACAGAGTAAAATAAAAGTAAATATGGCTTAAGATAATAACATTAAAATAATAAAATAACTCAGTGTCTGTGTTACAATGATTATCTTACCAACACATGCACCACACTGTGCAGCTAGTGAAGAATGAGATATATATCCTCCACTAGTTCTATTACAGCAGTCAATAGCTGCAAGACTGACTCCATTAGTATTACTAACACAATCAGCAGCAGATGAATAACACTCTACAATTACATCCTCCTGTAATTGGCCTTGAACTAGATCTATACATAAAATAAACAAGATTACCTTAACATACATTTGATCATTATACCTGTAAGTACTAATAGCAAAAAGAAACTAAAGAATACAAGAGCCATATTGGCCTTTCTTGTTGTTATAATTCTACTCCTATAGTGCTAGATAGATTATATGTGGGCATACTAATGATAAGATGATATGACAATGACCTTAATGTTTACTTGTAAACCCACCTTTACACTTGTAAGGTCAATCAATGCCTTATATTATAAGGCATTTACCTTACAAATGTAAAAGTGGATAATACAATACCAGACAGAATCAAGCCTTTAAAGATTCCATTAATTGTATGCACAGACACAAATAAAGACAGGTGAGACCCACCTTTACACTTGTAAGGTCAATGCCTTATAAATAAATCTTATTATAATGCCCCCACTAGGAATACATCACATTTGTATGACCAAGCCTGTTGCTGGAGGGTTGCAGGCCTGAGGGCAAGGTCATACAAACCATAGATATGTACCAGGAACGCTGCAATGTATCCCACAGTGGGGTTGCTATCAACATGTATAATTCTTGTGATAATAAGTGGGTGTATCAAGGGCATGTGCCAATGCGCATGCTCAGGACAACTTTTGTCTTGTCAAAATTTTGCTGCTATTTCATGTCCTAGTGCTGCTACTTTTGTCCTACTCGCCATTTTTTCCTACTTTCCTAGGATAAAAATTGGCTGCAAATTTTTTCTACAAATTCAAACATTTGCATGTAGAACCTTAAAGGATGGATATTCTACTCTCCAAGCTACTTTACTATTTCAACAATTTCAGATTAGCTTGTACATTACATTAAATCTATTAACATTGATCTAAAGCACATGTCAAAAAGTCAAATTGCCCAGGTTTTCAATTAAAAATTGATGCCAAGTCTTACTAATGATGACTTCATAGGACAATGACCATATAAGGCATTGACCTTAACAGTGTAAAGGTGGGTTTACAATAATTATTAAACTTGTCCTGATGTTATGTTGACACTGGAATAAAATTTAGGTCTATTCTAATAGAAAGCATGCGTCGAAAGGTCAAATTACCCACACTTTTGATTAAAAAATTGATGGTACAATGGCCTATAACTGAGGGAAATTTTACTTGATGATTTTATTGTTATTATTTTTGTAAAAATATATTTCTTCATTTCAAAACAATAAAATCAGTGAGTCTATCTATAGTGGGAGTACTCAAATTATATGCTATCATTGAAGCACTGTCACCCTCTAGTGAAATGCCACACATTGTTGCTATGAAAACTCTTTCATCACTCTCACCAAAACTAATACTTTTTTTGCTTGGACATGGTCTTATGTTGAGTCTTTAAAATGGAGTGAAGAGGAGTGGTAGGAACAGAGAGGTCAGAACTAAAAGACTCTGACTTGACAGGAGTTTTAAAACCAGCAGCAGCAAGAGGAGAATAAGTGAGAGTCCTTGCACTGGCATATGATCTTAAAATATTATCAGTGAACATATCAGGGGATTGTGGTTACCAAACACTTCAGAAGTCAAGGTGAGTTACTACAAAATTTCAAGTTATTGTATTAGAGGTACTTCCTGATGGAATGAGCAATGAGGAAAAAAGAAAAAAATTACACACAAAAAATTGCATGTTAAAATTACACATTTTTGGTGTCCCAAATTATAACACAAAAAGTATGTGATTTTAGCACAGAGGTGTGTTATTTAAACACGGAAAGGTGTGTTTAATATCATTGATGATATTAAATCTTCCACATGTCCTGCTTCCAAATGCCTTTAGTATTGGACGTAATTCACGAGCACTATATTCACCTAGTAATTACAGGACACAATTCAATGAAGAGCAATGTTTATGGTTACAATACAGTGCATGGCACTTGGAGCAAATTAAAAATTTGTAAATATCCATATCAGCTCAAACTATACACTTGCATTAAAAATTATAAGAATGGAGAATTCTTTCCCAATTATTTTTGGCAAAATTTGATCAATGACCCTGTATTTTAGAGTAACTTTCAAAATTTATAAAAAATTCAATTCAATCAGAATTGGCTCAAACTTGCTACACAACACAAGAACATGTATGTGCATCAGAAAAAATTATGAAAGTGGAAAATTTTCTTTGAGCCATTTTTCGTAAAATTTAGCCAATGCCTGTACAGGGACTTTGACCCAATTTTTGAGTAATTTTGAGAATTTATAAAAAAATAATTTTTATTAGAATTAGCCCACTATAAGCATTAGAAAAATACACTTAAACATTTAAAAAATATTTTGTCAAGTTTTTGAGCAACTTCAAAATCCACTGCTAAAGGATCTGCAGCAAGAGCACTATGCCAAAATCCTCTGGGAAATCCTGGTAATGTTAGATTAATACTTACTGTTCCATACTGCAGTGTTGTCACTAGCTTGTAGAGTTATTACTGTATCAGTTGATAATACTCCTCCAGTTAGTACAGCACATATTTCTACAGTTCCTTCATTCTCAATCACATCATATGTTCCTCTCTCCAATGACAGCACACCAACTATGCAATGAAAAAATAGACAATATTATTTATAGACTCTATTATGTTCTGTAATTACAGTCATTATCAATGATGGTGATTGTAGCTGTTTGCCACTTCAGCTCTACTTATACATTATGGTCATTAGGGTCATTAGATCCCCCACCAAGTACTATGATAACTCTTATTGTTTCATCTCCCTCAATGATATTATCATCAGTATTAGTGATAGGAGTAAATGGAATATCATTCAGCGTTTTATTGGCACTGTATGTTAATTTAGGAACAGTAGGATTAAAGGAAAAATCAGATTGTAAGCCACCTATAGTGTTAATAAACATTAGGTCAATGACAGTATAATACACACCTCTTGTAGCATTTCCTCCTTCATGTCTTAATACAGTTGGTTGTATTTGCTTTCTCTAATTGCTTCTCCCTCTCTCTCATCTCCTATCTGCTGTATAGTTAGCACTAGTGTCCCTCCTTCCATTACTGAGATAATATTTTTATTACCAATTCTAAAAACTGCAAAAAAGTTTAAAACAAAAACATTTACTTTTAATATGCTTATAGTAACTAGTGGTAGTAAAATATTACGTAAAAGCGTGTTATAATTATTTAAATACATAGTCTTACCATCCCCACCGTTGACAAGGAATTGATGAGTTGTGACTGACGTAATCTTAACCAGTGCACTAGTGGCACTAATTCTCATTAGGATCAAATAGAACATTGTGTTTCGAAAAATCTGCAAAAGAAAAATAATGAATATATAATATTTTCATGCTTCACATGCAATGAATACTTCTCAAATCTTGATACTTTTTATAACATGATAGAGTAACTTCAAAAGGGGTCAAAAAATCAATTTTTTTACGCAGAGCTGTGATACCTTCTACAAGAAATCAGCAAACTTGTAAATGAACAGCCATTGCTATCAAATGGAAAGAAGGACATTTTGATTATTGCAAATAAAACAAATGCACTTATTGTCTATATCATCTCAATTGTAATGCTAAAACGTATGTATACAAGTACAACTCCTGATAGTATAATTAGTATTGGTGAATCATATAGACCAGTTTCAGCAGCAATTGTGTAATCAAATGAAAGAGTTGGTTGGAGAGCAACTCCATTTCCTTGTGATACATACTGCAGAGAAACCTTTCTGGTGGGGAACCATTGGTTCGTCCAGCAAAATCTATACTTAAGTAGTCATCAACTGTAATTAGAAAATTAAATATAAAGTAAATAAAGAATTATCTACCATTAACGGGCATAGCTGTAGCATTCATTGTTAAATGAATGCTACAGGTTCTGAGTCTGTATCATTTTCTAATTTCCTAGACCTATATGTCACCAGTTAATTGCAGCAAATGATCCTCCAAATAGACAGTGAAGTTGGCAAATAAAATCACATTAACAATTTTTAAATTGCTCAAAACTATTACATAACAAGAATTTGAACACTACATAGTATGAAAAATATCTAACGTTATCAAGGAATTTTTATTTTCAAATCATTTAATAATTATTATGACACAATTAAATGTTTTAAAAAGTTAATCTAAGGTCTTGGGGCACTTGGAATCACTAAAATGATATAGTAGAATCTTTAAAAGTAACAAAACTAACTTACAATTCTGTTTTATTTGACTTTCTTTTTTGAAGAATCTAAAAATAAAGTTAATCATTAAAAGCCATTAAATACGTACTGTATATCCTTGAAATTAATTGTCTTAGTATGTAAACAAATATTGATAATTTCTAATAACCTAGTGCAGAATTAACGACTTTCTAATAGCTGAAATTTACACGCATCAACAACAGTGTGACACATGTGCAGCTAATGAGTCAACAGGTCTTAACTCTTTCAATATTAGTTACTTTAATTAAATGACAAGTGCCTTAAATATTTTTAAGAGTAATTATGCAAATGTGCTCACCATCAATCTACTTTATCAATAGTATATTATTTTCTTATTACATGTACATGCATAGTGAATGGATAGTGAATGGAACAATCAATATGCCTTTTGTTGTATACTCTACTCACACACTGACCTGATGATCTGCTGCCAT